TCATCAGTTGATGGACACTTAGGTTGCTTCCATGTCTTGGCTATTGTAAATAATGCTGCGATGAACATAGGGGTGCATGGGACTTTTGGAATTGCTGACTTCAAGTTCTTTGGATAGATACCCAGTAGTGGGATGGCTGGGTCATATGGTATAGAATCTTTTATTTTTCAAACCAGAAACTTTCATGACCTGCATTTATGTATCACTTGACTAATGGGAACCTTCAGTGAGAGCAGCAGCCTCCCCACGCCACTGTCCACTGGCCCAACCATCAGGACTTACAGCCCCTGAGCTCCAGCTGTTTCCTCCAACTGTAGAAAGGTGACCAGACTGAGTCACTAAGACACATTCTGGGGTGTTCAGAATCTGTGTGGTACTTGCCTGTTGTTTGTTCACCTGCTTTTAATCATGGAGGGAAAAGGACGTGAATTTGGAGCTGCCTTTGGGCATACCTCTCCTCTCTTGCAGCAAATTACTAGAAGGATGGTGCCCAATTAAGAGAGCAGGTGGCACTCTTTCTTTTTCCTCAAACAATTAGAATGTTGAGTTATTTTTTTCACTTTCAAGCACGTGTTTGACAAATAAAACTCACCACATTAGCTTGGCACAACAAAAATTATACCTCAGTTCAATGCCCAATAACATGAATTGGTCCTGATTCCATTCCTGACACATCATCAAACTCTTTCTCTTTAATCACGGACACCAAGTATCCATAATTTAAGGAGCATTAAGCCTGTGTGTTTGTGTACGTGTGTGTGTAGTCTAGAGAAAAGCAAGGGTAAAGAACATTCAGATACATGGAGAGGAAATCACACTAGTCCATCAGAGTGTAATGAGAGGGAGTCTAGCTGAGTGGTAGAGCATTCGACTGCAGGACAACACTAAATATATTTTAGAACTTAATGAAAATGGTCTTTATAACCACAAAAACCTAAAATGGCCAGCAGACATACAAAATTCTTCTCAGTTCTATTAATGAGGTTAATCCTTCTCAGTTCATGTTTTAGAAAAAGTCTGTGTGGTAAAACGTACATATAACAAAAACCTATGTGGATTTTAATGATGTAAAAATATCTCTGAACAGAGTTAGAACTTGTTGATAGGGGAAGTGCTGTGGACTGAATGTTTGCGTTCCCCAAATTACTATGTCGAAATCCTAACCCCTAAGGTGATGATATTCGGACATGGGGCTTTGGCGAGGTGATTAGGTCAGGAGGGCAGAGCCCTCAGGAATGGGATTAGTGCTCTCATAAAAGAGGCCCCGGAGAGATCCCTCGCCCCTTTCCAGCATGTAAAGATAGAGCAAGAAGTCTGTGGCCTGGAAGCCAGTCCTCATCTGACCAGGCCTGCACTCTGCTTTTGGATTGCCAGCTTCCAAAACTGTGAGAAATACGTTTCTGTCGTTTATAAGCCACCCAGTTTATGATATTTTTGTTATGGCATCCTGAACAGACTAAGACAGGAAGTCACGCCTTCTGCAAGAAATAAAATGTTTTCTGTTAAAAATAATAAGCCAATCCCACAACTAGAAGGACCGGCAACTAAGATATACAACTGTGTACAGGGGCGTTTGGGGAGATAAAGCAGAAAAAAAAAATGATAAGCCAGAGATTGTTAGTTATTTAAAGCAAGGAAATCCCTAAAAATAATAAGGGAATTTCAAAATGAAGAAAAATGCATTAATTGACCACAACTCATTTTTGTTTAGTGGCTTAAAACAACAAAAATTTACCCTCTGACAGTTTTGGAGGGGAGAAGTCCAAAATGAGTATTATTGGGCCAAAGTCAAGCTGTCAGCTGGGCTGCAGCCCTTCTTGAGGGCCATGGGGAGAATCAGTTTCTTTGCCTATTCCAGGTTCTAGAGGCTGCCTGCATTCCTTGGCTTGTGGCCCCTTCTGGCTCATGGCTTGAGTCTCATGGCCTCCATCTTCAAAGCTGGCACAGTAGCATCTTCCGGTCTTTTTCTGACCACAACCTCTGCACCTGCTGTCGCATCTGTTTCTCTGACTCTCCTCCCTCCCTCTTTCCCTTGAAAGGACTCTTTCTAAAACTGTGGTAAAATATATATAACATAAAATTTACCATTATAGCCAGTTTTCAGTGTACAATTCACTAGCATTAGGTACATTCACAATGTTGTGCAGCCATCACCACTACCTGTTTCCAGAACGTTTTCATCTTCCTAAACAGAAACTCTATAGCCATTAAACACTAACTCCCCATTCCCTGCTCCCCCTACCCTTGGGGACCTCTATTATACTTTCTGTCTCGATGAATTTGCTTATTCTAGGTACCTCATATAAGTGGAATCTTACAATATTTGTCCTTTGTGTCTGGCTTATTTCACGTAGCGTAATGTTTTCAACGTTCATACGTGTTGTAGCCTGTATCAGAATTTCATTCCTATTTAAGGATGAATCCTATTCCATTGTATGTGTATATCACATTTTTAAAAATCCATTCATCTTGTTGATGGACACTCGGGTTGCTCCCACCTTTTGGCTATTGTGAATAATGCTGCTATGGACATTGATGTGCATGTATCTGTTTGAGTCCCTGCTTTTAGCTATTTTGTGTATGTATCTAGAAGTGGAATTGCTGGATCATATGGTAATTTCTATGTTTAATTTTTTGAGGAACCGACATATTGTCTTCCACAGCAGCTGCACCATTTTACATTCCCACCAACAGTGCACAAGTGTTCCAGTTTCTGCATAACATTGCCAACACTTTATTTTCTATTTTTTTGCTAATAGCCATACCAGTGGGTGTGAAGTGGTTTCTCATTGTGCTTTTGATTTGCATTTCCCTACTGACTAGTGATGTTGAGCATCTTTTCATGTGCTTATTGTCCGTTTGTATATCTTTGGAGAATTGTGTATTCAAGTCCTTTGCATTTTTAAAATTGTATTGTTTTGTTTTTTTGTTCTTGAGTTGTGGGAATTCTTTATATATCCTGGATATTAATCCTTTTGTCAGATATATGACTTGCAAATATTTTCTCCAACTCTGTGGATTGTCTTTTCACTCTCCTGATTGTTTGCTTTGATTCACAAGTTTTTAATTTTGATGAAGTCCCATTTATCTATTTTTTCTCTTGTTGCCTGTGCTTTTGGTGTCATATCCAAGAGATCATTGCTAAATCCAGTGTCATCAAGCTTTTCTTCTAAGTTTTCTTCTAAGAGTTTTCTAGTTTTAGCTCTTATGTTTAAGTCTTGGATCCATTCTGAGTTAATTTTTACATATGGTATAAAGTAAGCATGCAACTTCATGCTTAGGCACATGGATATCCAGTTGTCCCAGCACCATTTGTTGAAAAGGCTGTTCTTTTCCCATTGAGTGGGGATGTCAGTGAAGCTCGTTAATTGAGTTAATATATCAAATCATTATGTTGTACACCTGAAACTCTTATAATGTTATATGTCAGAGTGTTTTCTCTTAATAAAACAAAACCCCAAAAATATGCAACAGTTGATGAATAGGATTCAATTGTAAGGTTATTAGGCTTTATTAAAGACACATGAGAGCTGCAAAACTGTCAAAACTATAAAAATATCAAGTTGCACATATTTATGAAAACATCTAGCATTTATTGAGCTGTTACTGTGTTCCTAGCACTATTCTAAGGGTTTTCATATATTAACTCAAATCTCAAAGCAACAACCCAGCAGGAACAAGACAGGCTGCCTGTTTTCGCCGCTCCTACTCAACCTAGTATTGGAATTTCGCTGCATGGTAGGCATCAGATCAATGGTACACAAAGAAAGAGCTTCGCTGACAACCCAGCCATAATAACCCCTGTCCTCCTCATCTCTACTCTGTTTATGTTTACTTTCTTCAAAGCACTCATCCCCATGGGGAATTGCCCCGCTTATTGATTTATTTACCTGCTCATTGCCAGTTTTCCCAAACTAGAATGAAACTCCAGGGACCCTGCCTGTCTTGTTCTCTGTGCTGTGTCCTCAGTGCCTAGTTCGGTGCCTCACATATACATCATTGAATAAACATTACTTACGTGAAGGATTGGTTTCCTATTTGACACACAGGAGCAGACACAGATATTTAAAGCTGAGTGACAGGAGATATTGACAGGGAAATGAGACATCAAAGGATTCAAAATTTTAAGAACACCTTGGAGTAAATCCACAACAGTGCTTTCATTTCAGCTGGAGAAAGTGTTCAAAATGCAGACATCTCCTAGCCCACCTCCTTGTTTCGGATACAGCATACCTAGAGTGGACCTAAATCTGCAATTTTAACAAGGAACTCTGAATGATTTTGATGAGGTGCTCCATGGACCACACTGGGGAGAATTCTGACCTAAACAGCTGACATTTCTGTAGCATTAATTTAATGCCTACCATGCAGAGTTCTATAATTTCTGGGATGTCTCTGTTAATGCAATTACTCGAACATGCACTGGTCCCTCCCTCTCACCTGTGATGACAGATTGTTTTCCCACGTGGATTACACTTAAACTCCACAATATTCCTGGGTGGTCAGGAGCAATGAGTACTGTTATCCTGTTGTACAGAAGATGCTGGAGGAAAGGGTAGTGACTCACCTAAAGTGTCCCAATATTGGGACCCTGATCTCTTCACTCTTGTTCCAGGGACCTTTCTAGCACACTCGACTTCACGCTTGATTCTTCTCTGTCAGCTCCTGCTTCCGAGGCTCAGAGTCCACACCCTTCTCTGAGGGTCCACTAGAAGGAGAGTCAGGGGATAAGAGAGTTCATGGACTGGAGAGGAAGGTAGAGGATGGGAAAGCACATGAACACAGGGAAAGGGGTGAGGATGTCCTTGCCTGCCCCCCTCTTGTCCACTGGAAGCTGTGCAATGATGCTTCGCCTCTTCCCCAGCTCCATCACACAGCCCGCCGTTAGGCAATGGTGAGACTACATTTTGCAGACAGTAACAAATGTCTTGGAATGGTTTGTTTACTATGATACCAATTCTGTTTGGAAAATTAGTATGTATTCAAAACAGTTCCATCCGTTGACCCCAAAGCTACATCACGTTCATTGAGGTCTCTCTTCCCTCATCAGAGTAGGTCGACATGTCCACACTGCAGAGAGTCCCTGTCAGAGAACAGGGATTTCACTCTCCATTATCCCAGCCCTGTACGGGCTTCCCAGACCTTCTCCCACCCGGTCTGTCATCCCCTGTCCAGGACACTGGACACCGTTGCCCAGACCCCCCTCTGACGCCCCATCCTCTCAGTCACCTCCGCCTGCCCTGCTCTGCTATCGCATGCCAAGGTGCGCTACGCCTGGTGTTTCACCCTATGCGGGCCCCAGAGTATACATTTATTTATTTTTCCTTCTTCTCCCCAAAGCCCCCCAGTACATAGTTGTATATTTTAGTTGTGGGTCCTTCTAGTTGTAGCATGTGGGACACCGCCTCAGCGTGTCTTGATGAGTGGTGCCGTGTCCGCGCCCAGGATCCCAACCCGTGAAACCCTGGGAAGCTGAAGGGGAGTGCACGAACTTAACCACTCAGCCATGGGCCGGCCCCTGGAGTGTACATTTTTACAGACTTCTTTCATGCTTCTCAGTTTTTCAGACAAAATTAGAATCAATCTGTATATAAGTTCATACACTGTGTTTTAGAGAGGGTATTGTGGTTTTTGACTCCTAGCTGACCCTTTTTGGGAAAAGTTTGATGATAGTGGTACGTTGGTGCCATCTTGTGGCAGAAGCCTGAACAGCAGCTTCAAATGTTGCAGAGCAGAGAGGGAAGGGGGGAGGGACGAGGAGGAGGGGTGAGGCGGGCTGTGACCCACACCCACCAGACAGAGCCCTCTGGAAGTCTAGGTGGAAGGAGTAGGGGACTATTGCCAGTGTACAGGGATACTGATGACTTCCAGACAGAAAGTGCAACCTCCTATGTTGAAGAGAAAGCTCTATGAGTGGAGGTAAAAGGTTATTTCAATTTTGATTTGATTGGCCCATTAATTGACAGAAAAATTAATCAATAGAAAATAGTGATATAGGCCCAATTACATTTAGAATTTAGAATATAACGAAAGCAGCATTTCAAAGCAGTGGAGATATGATGGCCAATTAAGAAGTGGTATTGAGGCAGCTAGATAATCATAAGGTTAGAAAGGTAAAAAGGGATCAATTTCTCTATCTTACAGCAGCAGAAATTCCAAACGGTTCGGAATGAAATGTAAAAAAAGAAATCCAAACAAATATTAGAAGAAAATACAGGTGAGTTCTTCTGTAATCTGGAAGTGGAGGAAACTTTCCCAAGTATAAATGAATATCCAGGAGCATTAAGGAAAACGATTGATATATTTGACAATGTAAAAATAACAATGACAGCTCTGCGTGGCACAAACATGCTAGTCAAGTAGAGACACTGGGGAAAACATTTGCAGCTAACATCTTTAACAAAACATTGATATCCCTTCCATATAAACACTTACCAACATGAGGCATGAAAAAACAACAGCCCTATCAAAGACATGTGAGAAATACAACCAGTTATGAAAAAAAAATCAGTTGTCTTTAAACACATGAAAAGAGTCACAAGCTTGTTTTAATTAAGAGAGATGCAATTACAACTATACTAAGACACCATTTCTTAACTATTAGATTGACAAAGATCCGAATGTTTGTAGGCAAACTCAGTTGGTGAGGATGGGGAAAAACGTTTCCTTTCACACCTGCTCAGGGATGCAAAATGGTATGATCACTGTAGTAGGCCTGATACTGGTCCCAAGAGATCTCAGGTCCTGATCCCTGGAACCTGTAAATCTTACCTTATGTGAAAAAGGGTCTTTGCAGATGTGATTAAATTAAGAGTCTTTTAATGGGGAGATTATCCTGGATTATCCAAATGGTCCCTAAATGTACAGCCAAGTGTCCTTCTAAGAGAGGCAGAGGGAGAGTTGACACAGACAGAAGAGGAGAAGGGAATGTGACCAAGGATGTAGGCTGGAGTGATGGAGCCACAAGCCAAGGAATGCCAGCAGCCACTAAAAGCTGGAAGAGGGGAGGGAGCTCCCCCAGAGTCTCTGGAAGGACTGCAGCCCTGCCAATGTCTTGATTTTGGCCCCGTGAAACTAATTTTGGACTTCCAGCTTCCAGAACTATGAGGGGATGTTTCTGTTGTGGTAATTTATTGCAGTAGCCATAGGAAATTAATGCAGTCATTATGGCAGGGAATTTGACAATACCAGCAATTTCATATATGCCCTTACTCTTTGACTCAGAAATCCTATTTCCAGAAATATCCTAAGGATATACTGGCAATGTCACAAAAGATTTTAGATATAAATGTAGCTATTCACTTTGGCACTATTTGAATTGCAAAAGAATGGGAACAACCTAAACATTTATCAGTTGTTTGATGGATGAATAAAGTATACAACCGCACAAAGGTGTACACTAAGGAAGGTGTAAAGAGGAACGATGAAAATCTCCACATGGGCTGTGGAGGGATGTCCAGAATATAGTGTTAAATGAAAATGTCAACGTACATAAAGGTGTAAATAGCATACTTTTGATCTAAGAAACGGGGGGGAATGCAAATATAAAACTTTTACTTATATTAAAAGTAGAAGGAAAAGACCTCTGTTTTGGGAACCAGAAGGAGTAGACACATTTCTCCCTGGTACTCCTGCGAGGTGCAGCTAAAATCTCTGGCTCTTATATGTAAAACACAGACTGAAAGGGGGAGAGGAAAAACAGACTGGCTGGGGACTTCAGGATCCAAGTAGCAACATGCGTGAATTCCCTTGGTTGTATTTCACCCCATATGTCCCAGACTGAGTGCTGGAGGAGAAGGGCACCAAAAAATGCCAACAGGAAAAGACCAGACAAGCCTCAAGAAAATCTTTTCCAGGCAAAGAACCAGAAAAGAGGAAACCTAGCAAGAAAGACAGCTTTTAGACAACAACTGTCCTACCTCAGACAGACACCACAGAATGCAACACAGCTCCACCCACACTGTGCCAGCAAAGGCTGGGTGAGGAGTGTGGATTCTACGCTCACTTAAGTGCAACCAGCCTCCCCTCCCCACCCTCTGGGGTGGATCAGAGAAGACCCCAAGGAGAAAAGGGACTTTCATCCCTGATGGTGGAAGTGAGCACCTGTCGCCCTGGTGTCAGTAGAGACCATGTGGGGAGCCTGACTTCCACCCGCACCCAGTGATGAGACGCCTTCCCCTCATTTCTGGGCTGATGTCACAGGAAGCCGAGGGGATGGTGTAACTTTCACGACCATCCAGTAAAGAGGAGGCCTCCTCCTCTCCACAGTGTCAGGAGAGGCCACACAGAGGGCAGTAAGGAAGTGTCTTTCCCCGCCTGCCAGGTGGAGACCTGGTAGGGAGTGAAATCCCACCTCTACCAAGTGGAAACAAGGTACCCCTTCCCTTCCACTCCTCCCCCACCCCCATTTTTGTAGAGGCTAAGTGGAGAGGCTGGGCTTTTATCTTCTTTGCCATCTGTCTCTGTGTTTAGGAACACATGCTTGGAGTCACCAACATCCATGAAGAGAGGGTAGTGATGCCTCACTAGCACGTTTGTGGTGACGACTAAATCTAGGCAACAATGTGAAGAACCTATGCATAGGCCCTGCTTAAGTAGAAGCTTCATGAATAGAGCTGTCTCTTCCTCCAAGATCAGGGAACTCACCTGGCTCCATTACCTGCCCACCTCAGCTCGGGCCCCTTAACCTGGACGCAGGTCAGAATTGCCTTGGGGATCCCTTTCTAAACCCTCACCTGAAACTCTCCTGTTGGTGGAAATAGGATGTCTGTATCAAAGGCCATTCAAGTTATTCAGCTGTAATAATATGGGCCTCAGAAAATGGATACACCCATTTGGCACCAACAGTGTATGTGAGTGTCCATTGCCCCGTCATTCCTCCAACACCGGGTATTACCATCTTATGTCTTTGTTGCTAATCTGATTGCTTAGGGTCATCTCCGACAGCTGGAGGTGGTGGCCTGAAGAGTGAAGGTGTTTTGTTTTCACCAAGAGGGGCACACTGTTACTCCAGTAAAGCATAGTGATTGCTGGATCTGTCTCTCCCAGTGCAGCTCTTCATGCCGCTGGCCGAGCTCCTATCAGGCGTCTGAAAGAGGCAGCTTCTGAGGATCTGTGTCCTCATGGCTGCTGAACCATCTGCTCCAGATTCAAGGGCAGCCGTCCTCAGGAGACCACGACACTTCACATCCCTGTTGGGATATGAGGCCCGGCCTGAGGGAGTGCATACATCTGAACGAAAGCATGTTGTGGAATTGCTCCTGTGAGGTTCACAAAGGAGCCTCAGAGGAGAGAAGCTAACTTGCTCCCTCATGAGAGAAGAGGTTTAGCAGGTGGAATCCATTCCTTCAGCAGCTGCCTGCTCTGTAGTAGCCCTGAGAGCCATCCTAGAGTTGCCGCCTTTTGTCTGAAAGCAATGAATTGTCCGGCTTGAGGAAGACACTTGACCTTTCACATGCATTTGCAATAAATATGCCTAAATTGTTCTCATCATACAGATAATAATCAATGATTCTCTTGTGCCTCTCAGAGGAGTGTGGAAATACGCAGTAGTTAGATCTTCCTATTTGTGATGAGATTCTTCCCTGGTGACCGTGGGTTTTTTTTCCCTTTTATAACAGCATTTTTTAAAAAGGGGGAATTTTTCCAAGTGTTAGTTTAAAATGTCAGGGACTAGAACTTAATATTTTAAAAAATATTTGTTACCCTACATAATGATACTCAGTATCGTTCCCTGAAATAACTAGTTCCTCTTAGATATCATTATGATTATTTTCCTAAGATATGATATATTATTTCTGTACTTCAGAAGGAAATAGACATCAACTTTTCCTATATATTTGCATATATTTCATTGCAAATGATTATTTCTATTTTGGTTATCCGTCATTTAGGCCAATTTGATAAGACATGGTGTGGACCTGTTAACACTACAAGAGCACAATTATGGGACTTTTTCACCTGATTAGTTTAATTGCATCAGAGAAGTATGAATATGTAAGTATATCTCAAATATTTATTGAGGTTTGGATGACGTACAATACACTGTGCATATCTAAAGCATATACTCTAATAAGTTTTGCTATCTGTGTGCACCTGTGGATCCAGACTGCAGTCAACATAGTGAACATATCCATCTCCTCAAAAAGCTTCCTGGTGCCCCTTTGTAATCCCCCCACCTACCTCTCTCCTGCCTCTCTCTCCACGTCACCCTACCCCATTCCCAGGCAACCACTGATCTCCTGTCACTACAGATTAGTTTTCTTTTTGTATAATTTTATGTGAATGGAATCCTACAATGTGTATTCTTTTGTGTCTGTCTCCTTTCCTTCAGCCTCCTTATTTCTAGATTTATCCACTTTTTGCATGTACAACTACTTCCTTCTTTTCTATTGTTGGCCTGATATTCCATGACATTCATGCATCGCTTCACGACAGGGACACGTTCTGAGAAATGTCTCTTAGGTGATTTTGTCGTTGTGCGAATATGATAGAGTGTACTACACAGACCTAGATGGTATGGCCTACCACACACCTAGGCTCTATGGTATTAATCTTATGGGACCGCTGTCATATATGCGGTCCATCGTTGATTGAATCATCATTATGTGGTGCATGACTGTGAATGGACATACCACGGTTTGTTCTACCTGTTCACCTGGTAATGGATATTTGTGTTGTTTCCACTTGGGGGATCTTGTAAATAAAGCTGCTTGGACATTTGGGTATAAGTCTTTGCTCGAACATATGCTTTCTTTCTCTTGGGTAAATACTTAGGGATGCAATGGCTGGATCATATGATAGTTGTAGGATTAACATTGTAAGAAGCTGTAAACTGTTTTCCAAAGTGGTTGCACCATTTGTCATGACCACCAGCCATGTATGAGAGTTTCATCCTCCGCAACCTTGCCACAATTTGGTATGGTCAGTTTTTAAAATTTTGCCCATACTTAGAGGAGCGTAGTGATATAGTTTTTGTTTACATTTCCCTAGAGACCTTGAACATTTGAGAAAAGATGTTGAGCATCTTTTCATACGCTTATTTGACATTAGTATATCTTCTTTGGTGGAGTGTCTATTCAAATATTTTCCCATTTATTAATTAGAGTGTCTGTCTTCTTCATATTGACCTTTCTGAGATTTTCTGTATTCTGGATACAAGTCCTTTATCAGAGATAAGATTTGCAAATATTTTCTCCCAGTCAGTGGCTTGTTTTTCAGTTCTCTCAACAGTGTCTTTGGAAAAGCAGAAGTTTTTAACTTGAGGAAGTCCAATATATTGACATAATGGATTGTGGTTTTAGGGTTACACCTATGAAATCTTCATCTAACCCAAGGTCACAAGGACTTTTTTCTTGTGTTTTCTTCTAGAAGTTTTAGGCTTTATAGTTAGGCGTATGGTCTATTTTGAGTTGACTTGTATTTAGTTCGATACATGGATCAAAATGTATGTTTGTGCATGTGGATATCCATTTGTTGCAGCCCCATTTGTTAAAAAGACTATCCTTCCCAGGTGGCCCGGTGCCATAGTGGTTAGGTTCACACGCTCCACTTTGGCGGCCCGGGTTCACCAGTTTGGACCCTTGGCACGGACCTACGCACTGCTCATCAAGCCATGCTGTGGCAGGCATCCCACATATAAAATAGAGGAAGATGGGCATGGATGTTAGCTCAGTGCCTGTCTTCCTCAGCAAAAAGAGGAGGATTGGTGGGGAATGTTAGCTCAGGGCTAATCTTCCTCAAAAAAAAAAAAAAAGAAAAAGACACTATGCTTTCTCCTTGAATTGCTTTTACAACTTTGACAAAATCAGTTAACCTGAGTTTTGGTGTGAGTCTATTTCTGGACTCTATTCTGTTCCATTGATTTATTTGTCTACCATGATGCCAATACTTCACTGTCCTGGTTACTGAAGGTCTTCTTTTTTTTTTAAAGATTCTTTATTTTTCCTTTTTTCTCCTAAAGCCCCCTGGTACATAGTTGTGGATTTTTAGTTGTGGGTCACTCTAGTTGTGACATGTGGGATGCCGCCTCAGCATGGCTTGATGAGTGGTGCCATATCCAGGCCCAGGATTCGAACCAGCAAAACCCTGGGCTGCCGAAGCAGAGCGCACAAACTTAACCACTCGGCCACGGGGCTGGCCCCTATAATGAGTATTGAAATCAGGTAGTTTTGATCCTCCAACATTGTTCTTCTTTTTCAAAGTTGTTTTTCATAGTCTAGGTCCTTTGTATTTCAGCATGAATTTTAGAATCAGCCTGTCAATTTCTTAAAAAACAAATGTCTGTTAGGTTTTTTTTTAAAGATTGGCACCTGAGCTAACAACTATGGCCAATCTTTTTTTTTTCTCTTTCTGCTTTATCTCCCCAAATGCCCCCTGGCACATAGTTGTATATCTTAGTTGCAGGTCCTTCTAGTTGTGGCATGTGGGACACCACCTCAATGTGGCCTGACAAGTGGTGCCATGTCCGTGCCCAGGATCGGAACCAGTTAAACCCTGGGCCGTCACAGTGGAGTGTGTGAACTTAACCACTCGGCCATGGGGCCGGCCCCTCTGTTAGGATTTTTAAGATTATATGGAGTCTGTAGACCAGTCTGAGGAGAATAGATATCTCTATAATACAGAGTCTTCTGATACATGAAAATGGTTTCTCTCTCCGTTTATTTAGATCTTTTTAAAATTTCTGTCAGTGATGTTTTGTACTGTTCAAGGTACAGACCGTACACATATGTGGAGAGATTCTTCCTGAGTATTTCATAGTCTTTGCTGCTATTGTGAATGAGAGTATTTTTTAACTGCAGTTTATACATACAGTGGTCCCTCAGTATCCACAGGGGAATCAGTTCCAGGACCCCTGTCGGTACCAAAATCCTCCCGTGCTCTAGTCCCTTCTATAAAAAGGCATAGTATTTGCAAATAGCCTACGCACATCCTCCCGTATACTTTACATCATCTCGATTACTTAAAATACCTAATACAATGTGAGTGCTACATAAACAGTTGTTATACTGTATTGTTTAGGGAATAACGACAAGAAAAGAAAGTCTGTGTGTGTTCAGTACATACACAGCCATCTTAGGCCTTTCGATCTGTGGTTTCTTGAATCCAGGGATGCGGGAGCCTGTGGATACGGAGGGCCGACCGTACTATATTTTCTCTAAACCGGCAGCAGCCAGATGTCAAATAGCTGTTGAGAAATCTTTTTGGTTGAAAGCTCAGATCACTTACTCTTGGGTGGAAAAGGTGCTTGATGTATATAACATGCATTTGCTTATGTTTCCATGTCAGCTTTTAGACGTTATTGACAGTGTACTGAAACTAGGGAGAAAAATGTCCCAGAAACAATTCTATAGTTCATCTCCAGATAAACCCATCACTAAAATAGTTTAGTAGCTTTCAGCTTTATATGTGTATTTAGAATTGAATCTGTTCAATTGCAGTGTTTTTCTTTTTTACCCTCCAGCTATTCCGTCACAATGAATTCCTGGCATCTTGAGTGGGCAGAGGAGAGGAAGAGAGCGTACACGTATGTGAGTGTGTATGTATGTATGTATGTATATTGTGCTAAAGCTGCCAAGAATATTTGCTGTCAGGAATACTTGAGGTTAATTACTGTGTGTTATGCCAGTCCTGTTCAGTTTCTAGCTGAACCAAATCAGGGTCATTGCTGTTTGTTTTTCCAGCTTTCCCTGGCCAGCCTGGTTACCATGGTCACTCAGTCACTCCTGTGGGATTTGCTATAGACTGAGCATCCATTCAGGCCTTTTGGCTGAATTACTTGTTACTATGATGGTGGTCAAGTGTTGCTTTTCCAATTCTGTCATTCGTTCTAGATTTATTAGTTGGCATTCGACTGTATGGTAGACCTTTCCCTTCTCCCCTTGTGATTTATTTATTTAAATATCTGTATCAGTATGAGTCATAGATTCCTACAACTAAAAGGGTTTAGTATTACTGTGTATTTTGATGCTCACATTGTCCCAGGATTGGCCACTGTTAGCTCCACCAGGTTGGCTTCTGCGTCCACTCGATGCCTCCCTAGACTCCTCTGAGCATGTACTTTGCTCCCTGACCCTGAGTATCTCCCCGTCTGTAGAAAGGAAGTAATGATGCCCACCTCAGAGCACTGCCTTGAGGATATAGAGAGAAAAAGTCTGAAAATAACAGTCTACACTGTGTAGCATCTGGTGGGCTCTCAAAATGTTAGTTCCCCATTCCAACTTTGCCTCCTTCATTCTGTCAGTGTGAGGCCTCTGACGTCACATAGTAGCATGACTCCAGAGAGAATACTTGGACATGTAACAGCCACCAGGGATAAGCCCCTGTTTCCATGATGTGTGAGCTTCAGTGTCACTGTGTGGGCAGGAGGGGCTCTGTGGTGGAGCTGGGGAAGAGGCGAAGCGTCATTGCACAGCTTCCAGTGGACAAGTGGGGACAGACAAGGACACCTTCACCCCTTTCCCGTGTTCATGTGCTTTCCCCTCCTCTCACTTTACTCCAGTCCATGTGCCGTCTTAGCCCCTGACTCTCCTTCTAGTGGGCCATCAGAGGAGGGTGTGGACTCTGAGCCTCAGAAGCAGGAGCTGACAGAGAAGAACCAAGTGTGCTGGCGCGTGTGCAGACAGGTTCCTGGAGCAAGAGTGAGGAGATCAGGGTCCCATCACTGGGACACTTTAGGTAAGTCGCTCCTCTTCCACCAGTCCTGTCTATACAGCAGGATAACAGTACGCACTGCTGCCAACCACCCGGGAATAATCTGGAGTTTAAGTGTGATCCCATGTGGGAAAGCAATTTGTGGTGGTGGGTGGGAGGAAGGACCAGTACATTTTCAAATAATTGCATTAACAGAGACGTCCCAGTTATTGTAGAACTCTGCGTGGTAGGCATTAAATTAGTGGTGCACAAATGTCACATGTTTAGGTCAGGATACTTCCAAGTGTGGTCCATGGACCACTTTCTCAAAATCGTCAGGGAGTGCTTGTGGAAATTGAGGTTCCTGCGCCCACCCTAGGTCTGCTGTATCCAAAACAGGGAGGTGAATGGGAGATGGCTGTATTTTGAAGAATTTCATTCAATTAGTTGGTTCTGGCTCATCCCAGTTTAAAAAGCACTTCTGTGGATTTGCAACAGGGTGTTCTTAACATTTTGAATTCTTTGATGTCTGATTTCTTTGTCAGTTTCTCCTGTCACTCAGCTTTAAATATCTGTGTCGACTCGTGTGTGTCAAATAGGTAACAATTCCTTAATGTAAGTCCAACTTTATCAGTGATTTATATGCGAGGCACTGAACTAGGCACAGGGGACACAGCATAGAGAATAAGACAGGGAGGGTCCCTGGAGCTTTCAGTCTAGTTTGGGAAAACCGGCAATAAGCAGGTCAGTCAATAAGCGGGGCGATTTCACGTGGGGATGAGTGCTTTGAAGAAAATAAACACATAAATAGAATAGAAAATGACGGGTCATGGATGATTGTAGCTGGGGTTGTCAGTGAAGGTCTTTCTCAGGAAGTGACATTTGAGCTGAGTCCTGAACTACATACAGGCCAGGGCTTTGGGTCAGCGGCCCTTTGATGTGTGTGAGCACCAGTTGTTCCAGGAGCAGACGACAAGCTTGAGTGGCTGGAGCCTGGCAGGCAAAGTGCAGATGTTGGGGATGAGGTTAAAGGGGCAGACAGGAGCCAATCCAGTGTCTGTGAGGGGAAGTAAAAGTGTTCACACTCACACAGTTTGTAGGTGGCAGAACTAGGCTTTGCACCTAGTCTCTCTCCAGAGCCCACTCTGCTAGCCAGTACATTTAGCAAGAAGAAAGAGACGTGTTTAACTATGTCAACCCATAGTGGTTGATGTTAGTCTGGGGCCGTATCTCTTTGGCTGAAAACTATGCTTCTGTAGGCATTTGTCCATATACAGAGGGTATTTATTTAAGAAAAATGAAAAGGTAGTAATTATAAAAGCAAAAAAGTAATAATTATCACAGATACTGTGCATTACACAGCTTGGCTGTTGCAATAATTCCTTGGACTTCCCTGGTGGATTCTTTTCCCTTTTGAACTCAGTGCTTTTCAGATGGGAATCACATCGCTCTCTGCTCCAGTTTTTGTTTTTTGTTGGTTGGGGAGCAGGGCTGATCTGACCCTCTTTGGCAGGTGGGGCCAGAGGAGGTGTGGTGACTTACCCAGGGCCACCCAGAGTTCATGGGTTAGGTCTGCCTCTGGGGCCAGGAGCGTCTCCTGTCTCACACCCAGTTGCCTGTCCCACATGGCACTAGCCTTGTTCCTGTGTTTAGTGAATCACTCTTCAAGGACTCAGAGGATTCATCCTTCTCTGAGCTTACCCTGCAGGTAATAGAAGAGGACACTAAGTGGCTTCAAATAGAAGGATGTGGGGTATTGATTTTCCTCTCTTTCCCCAAACTCAATTGAGAGATTAGAAGAAACATTCCTGAAATTATGTGCCGTGTTCTCTTTTATGTCTGGCTCCTTTCAATGAACATAATGTGTGTGTGATTTACGTTATTGCTGTCTGTAGATTATTCATTCTCTTTGGTGTATAATATTACATTGTGTGGATATGTCACAATATATGTGCATCTGTTATGGGGATTTGGATATTTTCCAGTTGTTGACTTATTATGGATAATGTTGCTATGAGTGATCTTGAACATAGCTTTTGGATGGACAATTATTTTCCTTTCTTTCGGGCATGTACCTAAGAGAGGCATTTCTGAGTCATAGGGTCTGTGTATGAGGCGCTCAGTAGATACTGCCAAGCAGTTTTTCAAAGTGCTTGTTCCAGGCTCTGTTCCCAATCCTCACCAACACTTGGTGTTTTCCATCTTTTTCATTTTTGTTATTTATGTGAACGTGTTATAGTATCTCATTGTGGTTTTAATTTTAATTTCACTGAGCTCTTAAGTGTCTTTTATTATAAAGAAGGCCCCCTTGTTGTTTTTAACCTTCCAGTTATTTGCTTAAGAAACTGCATCTTTTGTCCCGTGGAATGTGCATTCTGGATTATGTTGATTATATCCTTCTTGTGTTGTTTATGTTCTTCTGCCCCTCCTCATTTCCTTTAAATTGCTGATTAGATTTAGAATCTTGATCCAATTCGGATATTTTGGCCAGAGTACTTCAGATGCGGTGTTGTACTTGTACACCAGGAGGCTCATCATGTCTGGTTGTCTCTCCTGTTGTGATGTAAAGATCCATCACTGGGTTCAGATGTTGTCAGCCTGACCCATCTGTTATAAAATTTCCCTTCTGCTTTTTTTTTTTACAAGTTTTTTAAGGTTTTGTTGTTGTTGTTTGTTTTGGTGAGGAAGATTGGCCCTGAGCTACCAGCTGTTGGCAATCATCCTCTTTTTACTTGAGGAAGATTGTCACTGAGCTAACATCTGTGCCAGTTTTCCTCTATATTATGTGGGATGCCAGCACAGCATGGCTTGTTGAGTGGTGTGTAGGTCCATGCCCAGGATCTGAACCCACGAACCCCAGGCTGCCGAAATGGAGTGCAAGAACTTAACCACTACGCCCCTGGGCTGGCCCCGCAACTGGTTTTTACCTCACGTTTTTTGGAGCCTCTGAAAATAGTTGCCTAGATCTGCATTTCCTTAAAGGCAGTGGGAGGATGATGTTCTAATTCTGTAATTTCTTCTCCATTCATTAGCTGGAATTCTATAAAAGGAACTTCCGCTTATAAACTATTAGGTTTCCCTGAGGTATGGTTTGCACAGGAAGGGAAGGATGAATGTTTAATTTTTTGCTGTATTTCCACCTTTTAAAGTAATGAGTTGTTTCCCCAGGATCCTCCAAATGTGAGCCCTGTGTTGGTTTTGTTTGTGTTGCTTTTCTTAAGAATGTCATCATGACTCATAGATGTTTGTATGTTTGATGTGCCTTAGTCCATTGTAGTCGTTATTTTACTCGATGTCAAATTGTTCTGTCTTTGGCCATTGGGAGACCCTTCGAGTTAGCTTCTGAATCTTTTTGACATGCTTTCTGGTATGAGAGTTTGGTACGGACACATGCAGTGTAATTCCTTCTGCAGGGCTGGAGTCAACCGTTTCTCCAGAGGAGACTGAGCTCCTTTAGTGTGATGGTTTAGAGGATTTAACCTGGGGCCTAGAGTCACTCATTGCTCCTTGATTGGCCACGGTTTCTTGCCCTTTTTAGTGCATGAAGTCAGTAAATTTGTATCATATTTTCAAGAGAATGTACATTCTTAGCTTCCTTCCTGGGATGCTCCCGCATCTCTGTATAGGTTTTTATCAGTTTTTCTTAACCTTCAGTTTTTAAAATATAAGCAAATATAACATATATATGAGTTTTCTCCCTACCTCGTAGGTAAAAGTTGGCACATTCTACACAAGTAAAGTCCAATAGAAATTTTTTTAATTGATTTTTTTTAATTGCAGTAACATTGGGTTATAACATTATATAGCTTTTGGATGTACATCATAATATATTTCAAATTCTGTGTAGATTACAACATGTTCACCACCCAAAAACTAATTATAGTCTATCCCCTCACATGTGAGCCTAATCACCCCTTTTGCCTTCCCCCCCCCGTCCCCCATGGTAACCACCAATCCAATCTCCGTCGCTATGTGTTTGTTTGTTGTTGTTTTTATCTTCTACTTATGATTGAGATCATATGGTATTTGACTTTCTCCCTCTGACTTATTTCATTCAGCATAATACCCTCAAGGTCCATCCATGTTGTCACAAATGGCCAGATCTCATCATTTCTTATGGCTGAGTAGTATTCCATCACATAGAAATACCACATCTTCTTTATCCGTTCGTCCCTTGATAGACACCTAGGTTGCTTCCAAGTCTTGGCTATTGTGTATAATGCTGCAATGAACATAGGGGTGCATGTATCTTTATGCATTTGCGTTTTCATGTTCTTTGGATAAATACCCAGCAGTGGGATAGCTGGATCATATAGTAGATCTATTCTTAATTTTCTGAGGATACTCCATACTGCTTTCCATAGTGACTGCACCAGTTTGCACTCCCACCAGCAGTGTACAAGAGTTCCCATCTCTCTACATCCTCTCCAACATTTGTTGTTTCCTGTCTTGTTAATTATAGCCATTCTGATGGGCGTGAGGTGATACCTCACTGTAGTTTTGATTTGCATTTCCCTGATAGCTAATGATATTGAGCATCTTTTCATATGCCTGATGGCCATCCGTATATCTTCTTTGGAGAAATCTCTGTTCAGATCTTTTGCCCATTTTTTAATTGGGTTATTAGGTTTTTTGTTGTTGAGCTGTATGAGTCCTATGTATAATTTGGATATAACCCCTTATCCGATATATGGTTTTCAAATATCTTCTCCCAATTGTTAGGTTGTTTTTTCATTTTGTTGATGGTTTCCTTTGCTGTGCAGAAGCTTCTTAGTTTGATGTAGTCCCATTTGTTCATTTTTTTCTTTTGTTTCCCTTGCCCGGTCAGACATGATTCTTGAAAATATGCTGCACAGACCAATATCAAAGAGCATACTGCCTATGTTTTCTTCTAGAGGTTTCATGGTTTCGGGTCTTACATTCAAGTCTTTAATCCGTTTTGAGTTGATTTCTGTGCATGGTGTAAGGGAATGGTCTACTTTCATTCTTTTGCATGTGGCTGTCCAGTTTTCCCAACACCATTTATTGAAGAGACTCTCCTTTCT